TTTTCAAGGTCACCATCTCCTACACCCTCTACATCCGGAGGAGGTGGCAAATTGGAATCTTGCTCCATTTCAGGCGTATAATATGCAATATAAGATTTCACACGTTATCCCACCACTGCCACCAGTGTAACATTCAGCCTAATTATGGTAGTGTGGATGTTGTTTAATAGACTGTGTCACTGTGGGTCTCAGGGTATACGTTAAATATACACGTGGGAAATCTGTACATAACAACTTATATACAATTAAATACAATAACACATATATTGTGGCGTTTTAGCCCGTCAAAATAATACATGAAAATCGATGTATTTGCTTTACTTCAGTTACTGAGGCACTAAGGTTAAAGTCCTTTATATGCGATGATAGTTTTCGAAGCACTAATATTAGAGTCCTCTATACGAAAATACTTGTACTTTCAATTGTCTCTTGAGCTCTGGACTTATTCAATTCAGCTAGGTATAAATCTGGGAATAACAGTCTCTCATTACAGCTTCAGTGATTATGCCTTGGAATAACAGTCTCTCAATGGAGGCAAATCTCAAGCTGGCCTGAAATAAAATAACTAAGTCTGGAATCAACTTAGTTCCTCAATCAGGCTGGAGTTATATAAACTAAGTCTGGAAATGCCAAAGTTCCTCAATATGTGGAATCTACCCAAGATTCCCAGTAGTTCCCAAATAAACTAAGTGTCTCGTACTTAGTTTCCATCAAAGTCATCCAGGTCGGGGGTGACACTATTCAACGTCCCCAACAGGCAACATCGATGAAGATCCTTTAAGTTCCTCAATATGTGGAATCTGCCGAAGATTCCCAGTAGCTCCTAAATCGATGAAGATCCTCTAAGTTCCTCAATATGTGGAATCTGCCTAAGATTCCCAGTAGCTCCTAAATCGATGAAGATCCTCTAAGTTCCTCAATATGTGGAATCTGCCTAAGATTCCCAGTAGCTCCTAAATCGATGAAGATCCTTTAAGTTCCTCAATATGTGGAATCTGCCTAAGATTCCCAGTAGTTCCTAAATAAACTAAGTGTCTCGTACTTAGTTTCCAACAAAGTCATCCAGGTCGGGGGTGACACTATTCAACATCCCCAACAGGCAACATCGATGAAGATCCTCTAAGTTCCTCAATATGTGGAATCTGCCTAAGATTCCCAGTAGCTCCTAAATCGATGAAGATCCTCTAAGTTCTTCAATATGTGGAATCTGCCTAAGATTCCCAGTAGCTCCTAAATCGATGAAGATCCTCTAAGTTCTTCAATATGTGGAATCTGCCTAAGATTCCCAGTAGCTCCTAAATCGATGAAGATCCTCTAAGTTCTTCAATATGTGGAATCTGCCTAAGATTCCCAGTAGCTCCTAAATCGATGAAGATCCTCTAAGTTCTTCAATATGTGGAATCTGCCTAAGATTCCCAGTAGCTCCTAAATCGATGAAGATCCTCTAAGTTCTTCAATATGTGGAATCTGCCTAAGATTCCCAGTAGCTCCTAAATCGATGAAGATCCTCTAAGTTCTTCAATATGTGGAATCTGCCTAAGATTCCCAGTAGCTCCTAAATCGATGAAGATCCTCTAAGTTCTTCAATATGTGGAATCTGCCTAAGATTCCCAGTAGCTCCTAAATCGATGAAGATCCTCTAAGTTCTTCAATATGTGGAATCTGCCTAAGATTCCCAGTAGCTCCTAAATCGATGAAGATCCTCTAAGTTCTTCAATATGTGGAATCTGCCTAAGATTCCCAGTAGCTCCTAAATCGATGAAGATCCTCTAAGTTCTTCAATATGTGGAATCTGCCTAAGATTCCCAGTAGCTCCTAAATCGATGAAGATCCTCTAGGTTCCTCAATATGTGGAATCTGCCTAAGATTCCCAGTAGCTCCTAAATCGATGAAGATCCTCTAAGTTCTTCAATATGTGGAATCTGCCTAAGATTCCCAGTAGCTCCTAAATCGATGAAGATCCTCTAAGTTCTTCAATATGTGGAATCTGCCTAAGATTCCCAGTAGCTCCTAAATCGATGAAGATCCTCTAAGTTCTTCAATATGTGGAATCTGCCTAAGATTCCCAGTAGCTCCTAAATCGATGAAGATCCTCTAAGTTCTTCAATATGTGGAATCTGCCTAAGATTCCCAGTAGCTCCTAAATCGATGAAGATCCTTTAAGTTCCTCAATATGTGGAATCTGCCTAAGATTCCCAGTAGCTTCTAAATCGATGAAGATCCTTTAAGTTCCTCAATATGTGGAATCTGCCTAAGATTCCCAGTAGTTCCTAAATAAACTAAGTGTCTCGTACTTAGTTTCCAACAAAGCCATCCAAGTTGGGGGTGACACTATTCAACTTCCCCAACAGGCAACAGCGATGAAGATCCTCTAGGTTCCTCAATATGTGGAATCTGCCTAAGATTCCCAGTAGCTCCTAAATAAACTAAGTGTCTCGTACTTAGTTTCCATAATATGTCATTCAGGTTGAGTGAAAATATTCCAAGTTCCTCAACAGCTCCTCCAAATGAGCTAAGTTTCTGGTACTTATTCTCAATCAGGCTTGAGTTATATAAACAATGTCGGGAAATGACAGAGTTTCTCAGTCCAGCTGTATTTCCTCAATCAGGCTGGAATATTGTATAAACTATGTCGGGAAGTGACCAAGTTTCTCAATCAGCTGTATTTCTTCAGTCAGACTGGAATATTATGAACTTTGTCTGGAAATGGCAAAGTTCCTCAGTCAAGCAGTATTTCTTCAGTCAGGCTGGAATATTGTATAAACTATGTCGGGAAAGGACAGAGTTTCTCAATCCAGCTGTACTTCCTCAATCAGGCTGGAATATTCCTCAATCCAACAGAGTCCTTCAAACAGGCTGGAGTTGTATCAACTATGTCGAGAAATGACAGAGTTTCTCAGTCCAGCTGTATTTCTTCAGTCAGACTGGAATATTATGAACTTTGTCTGGAAATGGCAAAGTTCCTCAGTCAAGCAGTATTTCTTCAGTCAGGCTGGAATATTGTATAAACTATGTCGGGAAAGGACAGAGTTTCTCAATCCAGCTGTATTTCTTCCGTCAGGCTGGAATATTATGAACTATGCCTAGAAGTGACAAAGTTCCTCAATCCAGCCGTATTTCTTCAGTAGGCTGGAATATTCCTCAATCCAGAAAAGTTCTTCAATCAGGCTTTAATATTATGAACTTTGTCTGGAAATGGCAAAGTTCCTCAGTCCAGCAGTATTTCTTCAGTCAACAAATTGATGAAAAATAATCGATCTAAAAAAATGGCTAAGTTTCTCAAGTTAGCTAAATTATGAAAAGAATAATGTAAGTTTCTCGATCTCAAAAATGGCAAAGTTTCTCAAGTTAACAATAGAAAAACATTAATTGCTTAATAAGTTTCTTGATCTCGAAAATGGCAAAGTTTCTCAAGTTAACAATTGATTTCGAAAAATGGCAAAGTTTCTCAAGTTAACAATAGAAAAACAAAAGTTACTTAATAACACCTGAAAATACAAGTTTATAGCACTCCTTCTCAATCAGGCTGGAATACTGTAAACTAAGTCTGGTAATGACAAAGTTTCTCGGTCCAGCAGTAATTCTTCAATCGGGCTGAAATATTCTAAAACTTTGCCTGGAAATGACAAAGTTTCTCGGTTCAGCAGTATTTCATCAAACGGGCTGGAATATTCTAAACTATGCCTGGAATTGACAAAGTTCCTCGGTCCAGCGGTAATTCTTCAATCGGGCTGAAATATTCTAAAACTTTGCCTGGAAATGACAAAGTTTCTCGGTTCAGCAGTATTACTTCAGTCAGGCTGGAATATTGTATAAACTATGTCGGGAAATGACAGAGTTTCTCAATCCAGCAAAGTTGCTTCAATCAGGCTGGAGTTATCTAGACTATGTCTGGAAATGACAAAGTTCCTCGATCCAGCAGTATTTCTTCAAACAGGCTGGAATATTCTAAACTATGTCTGGAAATGACAAAGTTCCTCGATCCAGCAAATCTTCTAAGTTTCTCATCAATCCTCAAATGAAACACTGGCACGGGAGATGTGTTCCAATCAAAAGTTGCCTACGTGTCTGATAGGAGCGATCCGGGCTCTGTATTTATACCCCAGACAGGTTTTGCACACGAACCTAACAAGTGATTAGTGGGCTGATGCAATACCTCGTCACCGGATGTAATCACTGAATCAGGATATTAGTTTCGTAAAAATAACTGGCTTCACTTACAAATCACGATCTCGGCTTTTACACCCAATATCAATACATGTTTGGTACATAATCAACAAGATTATAGTATAAACTCAATAAATATAACCATAAATGATCGCTATCTAGTCTAATTACACTTCGATTTGATCGAATTGAAAGCAGGAAGTGATAATTTCTGTAAAATGATAGTCGAGAGTTCTCGATCAACCGTAACCATAGTCACTGGTAAAACTACCCGATCAACATTAACCAAATCTGAACTCGATAAAATAAAAAGTTGCTAACACCTCTGTAAGTACAAATAAAGTGCTTTAATCGATACTACAATCAAAGATCTTAATAATCTCAACTGTGAAGCACTTAAATCAAAAAATTTAAAATCAAAATTTTGTTACAATATATTTTATGCTCTAATCGTATTGAAAATTGATTTTTATTCAAAATAATACCAAAACATATATATTTATCTAATAATTTTTGAAATATTACCATAAAAGGGAAGCATGGCACTGTTCATTTTGATGGTCTCATGTTATTACACAGAGTTGCATACCCTTCTAATTGAAAGCCCATGGTACGAGGGTCATATTTTTGGGTGGTCATTTTTTTGATGTAGCATTTTTGGCTCGTGGCTTATCTTCCCATTTATCCTACCAATAGGGGCTGGATCTGGCTCCGGATCTGTATCATATTCATACACTTCACTGTCCTCAATTCAAAAGTTGAAAAAATAAACAAAAATCAAAATAGATCTAAATAAAGACCACTGGGCCTATAAATCAAATTGAATTTATTACCCGAGAGCGCAAAACATTGCTCCTTCCAGTATTTAGATTCATAAATACGTGTTCGGATGATCTTTTCCACTAAATATTGAGGATTTGTCCCTTTCACGCTGTGGGCATCTTTTACAGTTCTATTCGCCATTTTGTTTGAGATCCTCTCACCCGGATGTATGACCTATTTACTTTGAAACTAAAATATCTCCAAAAATAAAGATAGTCATTCGTTCATATTGTCGTGAGGATATCTATGTATACATATATATGTAAAATTATCCCAGAATCTCTTTGAAAGTAAGAATTTCATGAAATATTAATTAAAACGTAAGTGACCTTGAAACCAAGGTCAGAGTTCAGAAGAACCGCGGGAAAAATACAACAATGGCGAAAAAAGTTTCAAGAAGTCAATATTTTGCTTCAGATTCTGATCACCGTGAAATCACTTGGGTAGGAAAGGGCGAGGAAAGAAATAGAAGGCTCAGGGAACAATTACATTACAGGTACTTGTTGTAACCTCTTGAAATCTTGAGTTATCGTAGTTCTTTGATTCAAAAATTTAAAGGGACAAGTGAAATCACTTTCACTTTCGTTTCGGAATATGAATGATCCATGGTACTATTTTATGTTTCTGAGAAAGTCTGAAGAACTATTCTGCCTTGATATCAATCTGGTCAATACGAAGTAGTTCTCAGCTAATATAATCGGTTATACAATTGAGTTTATATGAGAACTTTTTGTGCCATTTATAAAGTGAAACTGGAGTCAAGCACAGATACTAGTTTTCTGCATGAAAAAAATCAAGCTTGCTCTATTGACTTCTTTTTCATTTTAGACGAATTCCTGTGGTGGGTATCTCCCCCACCTCTTTCAAGTTGACCAAAATATTTGAGAATCGGATATAGTAGTTCAATATCCCCTTTTGATCACATTGATCAAATTTAGCGGGAAAATTATCTGTTTCCATCAATCACGGATTGTGCCAAACGTCTCCGATCTACATAATCTAAAATTTTGTGTTTTTATCTTGGATTTTTAGAGCATTGAAACTTGATTCTGTAAAGATTGAAGTTGGTGACTTTGTGTTTATCGAGAATGAAGACCAACCTGGAACTGCCGAGGCATTTGTGGCTCAAGTCATGGATCTGTATGACAGAGGTGAGTCTAATTGAGCAGATCTCAAAAAAAGAAGAGATACGAAAATCGTTCCTTATAAGGTCAAAATATTTCCCATATGATGCAGTTCGCGAAGGAACAAATTTATACTTTCTTGTTTTCCCCCATAGGTTTAACATGGGGATTTTCACAGTCACACCTATTTTTCAAACAATATATTCATTCATATTCCCGTACGAGAGCACAGAAAAAATTATCAGAAATGATTGATCTCTTATTAATCTTAATAAAACTTTTTTTCATTTTATTCGTTCATAGCGTGGTGAAAACTATGACTGAAAAATGAGAAAACTGCAACATCGATGCAACAACTGAATAAAAGTACTCATCTTTAAATTACATTATAGAGTTACGTTGAAAACCCACAAACAATTGAGCAGTTGACGAAAGAAGACGCGTAGCTATTATCTAGGTCAATCTGTTCAGTGGTTCAAAAGCAAACCTATAGTACTTGTTTCCGAATTTTGTTGTTCATTGTAGAATCTTTTATTGATTAAACTAGGTATACTGACTATTAAATCAATGACAAAGAAGAGTACTTCCGATGATGTCATTGTTTAATTTAGCATGTGGGTGTAAAAACAAATTTGCGTAATTAGTTTGATTAAGAATCTTCGGGTCACGCAAATAGCTTGGCGAAATGCATCATGGGAAAATATTGACCAATCAAATTTAGTCCTTTTTGAGTGCATATTTGATCCATATTTGCGAACGTTTCGATTCAAAGAGCGAATCGCGAAATGGACAATTAACATCAAGCCATTGGGATATGACTAATACATGTGGAACATCGGAAAATAGGGTTATAGCTAATGATTTAGACAAGTACAGTAGTATATATGCTATGGATTCACTTAATAATTACTATTCATATATGATAATGGAGGGAAGCTAATTAGACTGGGTCATCTGCCTTATATGGAGATAGTCAACAGAGAAATGAGGATATAAAGATGATATTTGTTCTTTACAGGTAGTAGCAAAGGAGATGAGGAGGATAGAAAAAGAGCTATCGTAAAGTGGTTCTGGAGAAAACATGAGATTAAAATTAAGATTCGACCAGAGATTCACTCAAAAGAAGTTTTAGAGAATAGAAACAAAAATTTACCTCTTGATTTAAATGCTGAAAGCATCATGGGTAAATGTGTGGTAAGTTCTTATTAGCTGTAGATTAATATCTCTTATAAATATGTGCATTAACCTCTTGAATCCCAGGCTCTAAAATTGGTTGAAACCAGAGAATTTTTCATTTTTGCCACCTTTTGACATTTGACTACATACCTTTACAACTTTAGATGCTCAACTTAGTATACTTAGATGGCAGAGATCATTTCTACATGTTTTAAAACAATTTTTGTGTAAATTGGATGAAAATTGTTCAAATAAGAGCAATTTTTGTGAACACTTTTGTGACGGATTTTCTCGTCCCTCTGGGTTTCAAGGTCATTTCTGAGGTGACGAGGAATCTTGTCATTCTGGGTAGTCAGTAGATTAAAATAATAATTTCATTCTGTATAGTTTGAGCCTAACCAGGAAATCAATAAAATAATTCCCTCAATAAAATGCTTCCATCCCTATAACTTAAAAAAGTTTGAATACACAATTTTTTTGCTAAAATATATGTCTGTCCATCCATAAGCGTAACTCAGATACTATTCTAGCACTGATTTTCTTCATATTTGATGGAAACGTGTATTATTACATGCATTTACTAGCTAACTACGTGAAATTTAAGAATATTGTGTTACATTATCACATCTAGTGGTTTAAACTTTAGATGGGGCCTTAAATATATTTATATTTACAGGTTATAGAATGTCAACATGGGATGTCACCAGAGGAGGCATTAAAGACAGAGAATGGAAATCCTGTTTTCTTTGTTCAACGCTGGTTTGATGGATCAACATACCAATGGATCAAAGACGCACCAAAAACACCCAAACTCAGTATGAATGAGAAAAAAGAGGAGTTTGCAAAAACTCTCCCAGCGAAGAGACAAATCTCCGACAAAGCAAATAAATCAATTGCAAGAACAGATACCAAAGTGATGTCTGTAAATTCAAAGATTGTGAAATCAAAGATATTGGAGTCTGTGAAATCTAACACAAGGACAAGGAAATCTCTTGCATTTAATGAACTCAATGTAAAGCCCATCAATAAAGATAAGTACAACAAACAGTCTGGGAAAGAGAACTCTGACAAAACAGGTGGGTTTTAATTAATTATAATTTCAAATAATATAAATCTGAAAAAGTCATTTGTATTTTTTTGCATTGAGAAAATGTACTTTTTCATGAATTTTTTAGCAAGATTCTTCAATTTTAAACAAGTTGGAAAAAATGTTGATGATTATACTAAACATTCAAAGATTCAGAGTTTGTTTATGTAGTAGAAATGTCTCTCCATTATTTCAGATATTGTGCTCAGCCCAACATCTGTTGCGAAATGGGTGAATGTGAATAGAACTGATATAATAGCAAATATGTCTGACTCTGAATCTGAAAGTCTTTGCTATAGTGATATATCTGGACCTGTATATAAAGGGGAGGATGATCGCATCAGTGTAACCTCATCTGAGGGTTCTTCTGTTAGAAAATCATCTAGGCGTTCAGTGTGTCAACCTAAACAGGATATTGACTCTGTGAGTGTATCGTCAGATAATTCTTCAGTTAGAAGATCAAGTCGACGATCAGTCTGTGTTAAACGTAATACTCCAAACATTCCTTCTTCAAACACTGATTCATCTTTGGATTCTAAGAAACGTAGAACTGAACAATCGACACAGGTTAATAAAAACCAAAGCAAGAACACTCCCAAAACACCAGTGGCTGATAGCATACCTAAAGCAAAACCATCATCTGTGAGATCTTGCAGTCGCAAAACACCATCTGTTAAACCAATCAGAGACCTCCCCACAGTGCAATCAGGTCGAACACCAAAGACTGAGGGTGTAACCCTAGTTACCCGGGCAACACGCCACTCAGCTAGTAAAACACCATTGAATTCTGTGACGCGACGTTTAGTCAGCAACCTCAGAGATAGTTCCACTAAATCACCAGTTGTATATGATTCAGAGGTGATTAACAGTCACAAGGTCAAATTGACACGGAATAGAAGTCGAAAGTAAGTATTTCATATTTTAAAGGAACAGCATTCAGTCTAGAAATGAGTTGTGAGCTGTTAGGCTGGCTAAAATAACTTCAAAATGTCATAATTGTGAATTTTGAATATATTTTCCATTCTGCAATCATTTTCATACCTGTTTTCTAAATTCAAAATTTGGTGAAAATGTTTTTTTTTATAGTTTAGTATTGACTTTGAACTTTTATGCATTTTGAAACTTTCTTCCATACTTGATGAGATCAGTCTTTTCAGATGTTAATATTTGAAGATTTTGAACATGTCAAATTTATTGAAAATATTAACTCTTATTAAATTTACATTGATAAAATAATAAGATCAAGATCCTACACTTAATGTTTGTTGGGTGTAATTAAAAAAATTCCCCACTCTTACAATAATTTGTTTGAAGCGAATGAACAGTGAAGTTCCATGTCCTTTCGAAATACTGATGACACATTGCTTTCAGTTAATTATTAAGACAGTGGCATAGGTTGTTCCAAATACTAGTAAAAAATAAATAGATGATATGTTTTGTAGAGGTGATGCAAAGTCAGTACCTCAATACAAAGAAGACTCGTCTGATGATGAGGAGAAAGAAGCCAAGGCAAAGAAAACTCCCAGCAGGAAAAGTAAACATCATGCAAGGAAATCTGTCTCCAAGTAAGAACTTGCACACACAATTGATAATTTTTGACCCAGTTAAAAATCTTGGATGAGGACGACTTAGAGGAAAAGTAAACTCAAATGTTTTCTCAACTGGTATTACAAACAAAGACAGAAACAACTGAATTTACCCATTGTCTTTTATTTTGGGGTTTTGAACATAGTTATATTTTTTATAGAATATTCAACTGGAGTAAACAAACCTTCTGAAACCCCCAAAAGAGTAATAAAATGTTAGCTTTCAGTTAGCAAAAATTTGATACAACTGATAAAGCTTGAATATTACGATATCTAAATTCATAATAGGTCTGCCTGTGTAGAGAGTTCAGATGCAGAGTCTGAGGACAAATTTGAGATATCTTCCAGTGGGGAGGAGAGTGGCGATTCTGAGCCAGAATGGACATCTGTCAAAGGACGCAAGAAAACTGTAAACATGGGCAAGAAAACACCAAAAGTATGTTCAATTTTTGAAACTTTGTATTGAAACTTTGTATCATTATTAACTAATCTATATGTTTATGATATTTGTATTTATGTTCATATTTATGTATCATTTATGTTCCTTATACACCTGGATTCATTTAATCATTCACATTTTGCCTTTCATGAAAAACCTTGTGAATTGTGGATGCTTAATGACCCCTGGCCAATTTGAATAATATGATATGATTTAAGCTTATCATATCATTAAAAGTGATGCATTGGTATTGCAGGGAAAATCTAAGAAACTTGATGCTGCCACACCATCAATCCCAAGCCGTGGGCTGGCCATGTTGTCACCAGGAAGCCGTTTGGAACAAGCAAGAATGAGGCTCCACGTATCTGCTGTCCCAGACTCCCTTCCATGTAGAGAAAATGAGTTTGCTGATATTTATTCCTTTGTTCAAAGCAAAGTCATGGATGGAACTGGAGGGTATGTATGTATGTACAGGTTGGGTCTAAAAAACACAACATTTAGTTATGTTTAAAAAAATTATTGTGTTAAAATCAAAACACAACAATTATGTTCATAGATGACTTTAATGTTTGAAAAGATCATGTTCTAAAAATGCACCAAATAATTTTCAGTGAAATTAAGAAATATCAACTAAGTAACCATAATTAGATAACTGATATAGTGATTGCAATATAATTGCAATGATGAAGCACAAGGACCATATTACAAGAATAGAACTTCTCAGACTCCTAAGGATGTATAAATTATGATTGATAATAAAATTCTTTCACCAAACATGCTCTTTTGGTGGATAAAAAGATACTCTCATAACCAAGTCATTTTCAATTTTTTTAGAAACTTTATGGTTGACTCCTTATAGGTGTATCATTTCTAGAAAGTGACATATTTTATGGATCTCCTTGTAGGTGCATGTACATTTCTGGAGTCCCAGGGACAGGCAAGACTGCTACTGTGATGGAGGTAATGAGATTCCTCAGGGAGGATGTGGAGGCTGGAGAGATTCCACAATTTCAATTCATAGAGATAAATGGCATGAGACTCACTGACCCTCACCAAGCACATGTTCAGCTACTAAAGGTAAACTCTATATGCCATCTATAGTGTTTTATTCTTTACAGACGTGTGTATAGTTTTGCACCAAGCACTCAAACATATGAATTACTTGGGGACTACTATCATGAGATAGTTTATTGGGTTGTATGTAATAGAATACTTATTTGTAAAATTCCTCATTTGGAAATTGATAGGGGAGGCATGTGTGAGCCAATGCAAGACTTCTCAGTGTGATATATTCTCAAAATAAAAAACAATAACAGTGTTTAGACAAAACCATTTTCTTTGAAATTGAAAGGGACCTAACCTAAAGAATACTGCTTGATAGACTGACTTGACCAGGGCTACCCATCTATTGTAGGCTTTAACATGTCAGAAAGCTAAAAACAACAATAGTGTAACAATTTTCTTTAAAATGGAAAGGAGCTTCACTTACAGAATGTTGCTTGACTTAACATGTACTTTATCACGATTACAGGCTTTGACAGGCCAGAAAGCTACCCCAGACCATGCAGCGAGCCTACTCGACAAGAGATTCAGTTCTCCTGCACCACGCAGAGAAACAACTATCTTACTTGTAGATGAGGTAATGTTAATTGTTTATACCTTATGTATGTGATATTAAATACAGGGTGACTCCCAAGAAACAGAACTGACAAATACCGGGTGACAAATCTGTTCATATGAGTAAATGGTTCTGGTTTTTGGGGTCACTCGGAATTGATTTTAAGCAGAAACTGGCTCTAAAATTATTATCTCTCTGGTTTATTGTTATTAATTCAAGTCATCTATAGTTCAACTTATTGTTTTAATTGAAGTTTTAATTTTTTTGTTTTACTGACGAAGATGCATGTACCGAAATATATTCCAAGAAAATTAAAATTCTGAAGTGGAATATATTGGAGTAATAATAAAAACAAAAGTTTCCTCTCCAGCAGATCTAATAGTACATATGCATTAAGACAACAAATAAAACAAAATTTTCGTAAATAAATATTAGATAACTTTTTCTTTTACAAAATAGATGCTTGTGTTTTCCTCAAATCTCATGCCTTTCTAGACAATGATGCAGCTGCTCTGATGAGTAGGGTCAACGTCAATGCCAGATTTTTAATAAATACCATACTACTTCAATTTTAGTAGAGCCTATCAAAAATTATAATTAATTAATTTCTTGGTTTTAATGCAGCTCGATCTACTAATGACTCGCAAGCAGAACGTGATGTACAACTTGTTTGATTGGCCAACACGACCACAGGCTAAGCTGGTTGTCTTGGCAATAGCAAATACAATGGATCTTCCTGAGAGAATCATGATGAACAGAGTCTCTTCTCGATTGGTACGTGGATTTAAATTTTTCTTTCAGTAACATCATCATTGCAACATGTACACTAGGAATCTAATATTTATCCACCCTGTATAATGTATAGCATAAATAGAGAATTTTAAACTCGCACATGTTTGGGATCTGATTCTACAATCCCATGACCGACCTTGTGGCCCAGATCGGTACCAACATCAGATGTTAAAAAATTCTGAAGAAAAATTCTGAAAAAAGAACAGGAAGCGTCCCAAAACCTGTTTTACGTTTAGACAAGTCATTGCTATTCATAAAAATATCATCTTGTAGGGTTTGACGAGGAAGACCTTTCAGCCATACACATTTAAGCAGTTACAAGATATTGTCATGTCACGAATAAGAGATATCCATGCATTTGAAGAAGATGCTGTACAACTGGCAGCCAGGAAGGTACACTGAACAATGGGAACTGGGACAATATTGGAGATAAAATAATTAATGAATCTAAGACATAAATTATTAGGGGTCTGAATTTATTGGAATAAAAAACTGGTCCCTCTGTACTCTTATTGGATTTTAATTTCCTGATTTGAAAAAAGTCATTCTCATTTTCATATCTGCACACCAGTTTGTTATGGATAAAACAATAACAGTATGTAATATGAAGTAAATCATAACCGAATAATATTATCATCATTTCCAAACTCAACATATAGGTGGCAGCAGTGTCAGGTGATGCAAGACGTGCGTTAGACATCTGCCGAAGGTCAACTGAAATAGCTGAGCTGGAAGGTGGAGGAAAGGGAGACAATCTTGTTGGAATGAACCATGTGGAGACTGCAATACAAGAAATGTTCTCTGCTCCCAAGATAGTAGCCATGAGGTGGGTCTAGGTGACTGGGGAATAATTTCAAAGCATATAGCCTACTTCTGTTATTTTTTTTAAGGGATCCCTAAAAAAGGTACAATTTTGTTGTCAGCTTGATGGGCAGGCAGCATATCACTTTGTTGTCATTACAATTTCAGGAAAACCGCTTGACAGATTTACTTCAAATTTTCACACATGTTACATGGTAAGAAGTTCTAGAGCTGATTAACTTTTCGGTGGCCATCTTGCATTCTGGTGGCCATCTTGGAAGTTTTTAGATAAATCTTTTCATTGTGATTACTGGAAAACCACTTAACAGATTTACATCAAATTTTCACCTATGTTACATGGTAAGAAGCTCTAGAGCTGATTCAATTTTCGGTACCCATTTTGCATTCTGGTGGCCATCTTGGAAGTTTTTAGGTAAATCTTGTCATCGCGATTCCAGGAACACCACTTGACGGATTTACTTCAAATTTTACACATGTTACATGGTAAGAAGTTCTAGAGCTGATTAAATTTTGGTGGACATCTTGCATTCTGGCAGCTATCTTTGAAATTTTTAGATAAATCTTGTCATCGCGATTCCAGGAAAACCACACAATGGATGTACTTCAAATTTTGACACATGTTACATTGTAAGAAGTTCTAGAGCTGATTGAATTTTCGGCAGCCATCTTGCATTCTGGAAGTTCTTAGATAAATCTTGTCATTGCAATTCCAGGAAAACCACTTAACGGATTTACATCAAATTTTTACATATGTTACGTGGTAAGAAATTCTAGAACTGATTTTTTGGCGGCCATCTCATCAAGCCCACACTGCTATGTTTAGGTACCATATTGTTCACCCTGTGCCTTGTTTTGTCTTGATCACTTTGTGGTATCGATTATTTAGGTCAGTACCAGAGTTTCTCAATAATACACTCACCACTCTTCCCTTGGGCTTTGAAAGAAATTCATTTATTATTTGAGTAAATATATTTTTTGTTTTTAGGAACGCCTCACTTCAGGAAAAGTTATTTTTGCGAGCTGTCATTGGAGAATTCCAACGTTGCGGACTTGAGGAGGCTTCCTTTGCCAAGATCTATAAACAACACATAGATCTCTGTAGATTAGAAGGTAATTTCACAACTGATAGTTTTTATATCATATGTTATTCCTCACAATAGATTATTAATTTATGGCTATTATTAAATATGATGAAGCAAATTCAATATTATATCAAATCTTAATAATAATATCCTTCAACTTATTAGCTATTCAGTACAGTACTCTGTGTCCAAGCTATTTTACAATTTTTATTTTGCGGGGCTTGCTTCATTTTGTATGGGGCAACATCCCAGAACTAAAGACCCATGAACCCATGAAAATGGTTGCAGCAGTCGGAGCAGTTACCTCCCTTGGAATGAAGTTGAATTTCTGCACTAGGGCTGTTATAAAGTGAGACATTCACATCTTGGTCAGGGCCCTACCTACACACTGTATCTGCATTAAATGTTTTCTGGCAAATATATTGAGTTAATAAGGCCTGGTATTAAAATAAAATGTTTTAGTTTTCCTCAAAGCCGTTGAATAATTCCTTCTTTTTATGTCCCCACCACATAGTGTGGGGCCATATTGTCTGCCTAGGCGCGTCTGTCTGTCCGTATGTCCGTCTGTCCGTCCGTACGTCCGGCAGTTTTCTCCAAAACCGCTACAGATATCATCTTCAAATTTTCAGGGATAACTTATGAGTGCATCTAGATGTAGATGAAAAAATTTAACTTGATACCTACTTCCTATCGGCCATTTTGAAGTCAAATGCTAAAATCCTTGTCTGCAAACTTTAAGAAAAATGCCTTCACGTTTGCTTTTGAAACTTTAACATCTTGTTCAGCTCACTTCATTCTACATCTGATTAGGTTTTGGACCTGTCAGCTCAGTCATGTCAGCCATTTTGAATGTTTTAAGAAAAGTTAGCGCGCGATAATACTTTGTATCATATTGAATGGTGTTTTTGAGTTTTCATACTTTAACTATTTAGTAGCTTTATAGATAATTTCAGGTGTACTTTGTTGTAAAAGCCTATGTTATTGTTAACAGTAGTTATATGTGATAATTTTGTAAAAAGAAATCAGCAAAAACTCATACTCACTTTTTTATTGTCGGCCATTTTGGATTTTTCCGTCCTAAAATCTTGTCTGTAAAGTCTTGTCTACGCGTTTTCAGGTGAACTGTTTGGTAGATCAATTTCAAATTTTCAGGGATGATTCTTAGTATGAAAATCTAGATCTGATTAGTTTTTGGGCATTCTGGGTAAATGTCAAGGCAGCCATTTTGGATTTTCTGTCCTAAAGTCTTGTCTGTTAAGTTTTGTCTACGCATTTCCAGGTGAACCGTTTGGTAGATCAATATCAAATTTTCAGGGATGATTCTTAGTATGAAAATCTTGTAGTTATATGTGATAATTTTGTAAAAAGAAATCAGCAAAAACTCATACTCACTTTTTTATTGTCGGCCATTTTGGATTTTTCCATCCTAAAATCTTGTCTGTAAAGTCTTGTTTACGCATTTCCAGGTGAACTGTTTGGTAGATCAATTTCAAATTTTCAGGGATGATTCTTAGTATGAAAATCTAGATCTGATTAGTTTTTGGGCATTCTGGGTAAATGTCAAGGCAGCCATTTTGGATTTTCTGTCCTAAAGTCTTGTCTGTTAAGTTTTGTCTACGCATTTCCAGGTGAACCGTTTGGTAGATCAATATCAAATTTTCAGGGATGATTCTTAGTATGAAAATCTAGATTCTGGATCTAATTCTGTATAAATGTCAAGGCAGCCATTTTGGATTTTCTGTCCTAAAATCTTGTTTGTAAAGTCTTGTTTACATGTTTTCTGGTTAACTGTGTGAGGGATCAATTTCAAATTTTCAGGGGTGGTTCTTAGTATGAAAATCTTGAACGCACTAATTTTTTGGCATTCTGGGTAAATTTCAAGGTGGCTATTTTGGATATTCCATCCTCAAATTGTGTCGGTAAAGTCTTGTCTACTCATTTTTAGGATAACCATTTGACGGGATCACCCATAGGTGGGGACATTTTGTACACATTTGTGTTCTTGTGTAATATTTACAAACCATAGGAAGTGTGAGAGAAAAAAGCAAGAAGATTAATTTTCCACCGAATGAAGTTCGAGGGGGATATAGGAAAGCCACCCGTCTGTCCATCCTTGTGTCTTGGCGATAACTCAAATACAGGTTGACAGATTTGGTTCAAATTTTATAGGCTTATGCCTTATTGGTGTAGAACCGCTGCTCATTAAGGAATTTTCAATATTGCCGATCGATTCAAAGCGACCGCTATTTTTCATAAAAAAAGTAATATTTGATAACTTTAATACTTGTTGACGGATTTGCTTCAGATTTTATATGCTGATGCCTAGGGACAAGGGAGCTTTGCTGAAGTAGAGATTTTCAATATGACGGCTGAATTTCAAAATGGCAGCCATTTTTTGTAAAAAATATAATCTTTGATAACTTGTATACCATTTGACAAATTTGGTTCAAATTTTGTATGCTGATGCCTAGAGACAAAGGATTTCTGCTCAGGAAGACATTTGCAAGATGGCTATTGAATTTTAAAATGGCCGCCATTTTTCGTAAAAAAAGTAATCTTTGATAACTCAAATACAAGTGGACGGATTTGGTTCAAATTTTACATGCTGATGCCTAGAGACAAAAGAGTTCTGCTCAAGAAGACATTTTCAAGATGGCTATTATGTTCAAAATGGCCACCATTTTTCGCATAAAACATAATATTTTTGATACCAGTGAATGGATTTGGTTCAAATTTTATATATGCTGATGCCTAGGGACACTGGAGCTCTGGTCGAAAAGGAATTTTCAAGATGGCAGCTGAATTTCAAAATGTCCACCATTCTTCTAAATGTTATGTAATCTTCAATAACTCAAATACCATTGGACAGATTTAGTTCACATTTTAAATGCTAATGCATACAAACAGAAAAATGAGCTCTGTTCATGCAAGAAGACATTTTCAAGATGGCTGCCAAATTTCAAAATGGCCTCCATTTTTCATAATAATCATTGATAACTCAAATACCAGTTGACGGATTTGGTTGAAATTCTATTTGCTGATGCCTAGCTATAATGGAACTCTGCTCTAGAAGACATTTTCAAAATGGCTGCCATTTTCCATATAAAAATTTAATCTTTGATAACTCAATTATCAATGGATAATGGATTTGGTTCAACTTTTATATGCTGATAGGTAGGGACAATGGAGCCCTGTTTAAGAAGAAATAATCAAGATGGCCACTATTTATCAAAACATATTTTGTTCGGTGGGAATTGCTACTCCGTGGAGTTGCTGTTTTCAAGTTTGTGAAATTGGAATTTTCCAATTTCAAGTCATCATTGTTCTCTTTTATTTAGATCACAGTAATTTGTCATAATTGTATATTTTTCGTCTAAACCTATTTTACTTTTAAAGTCTAATAAGTTGCCTTTGACTTGTTTCTGGTTCATAACATTTTCTTTTTGGCCTTTTAAATTAGAAGTGTGAAGGATGGCATGTGTAAACGTGAAAGTTGCATAATAGACTATAATGCTGTTTTCTGCAAAAATTGGGATTTTTAGAATTGGAGTGGATGTAATAGAATTCCACTTTCTTTGAAAACTGGCATTCTAATATTGGAAACTAATGCCTATTGTTACAAAACATTGCAATACATTTCATTTAGCAAAAGAGGAGGAAATCCTCTAGACACTGAGTTGTATAACCATTAAGCCAGCAAAATGTCATCATCGATCCATCCTAGTGTTCCTCCAGGTGATGACTTAAGTATTGACTTACCAGTATTGACAGATTATATTCAGATATTGAAGTTTGATGCCTTATCTGCGAAGGACCTCTGCTCAAGAAGGAATCCTCAATATAATACACAAATTTTATGGGCATAGGATTATATGCTCAAGAAGGAATTTCCAATGTGGTAGCTCAATTCAAAATAACTACCATTTTACGTAAAAATATAATCTTTGATATCTCATCTTGGCATGAAGGAGGTAGTAGACAAGTTAAAACTAATTATGCATTATATGTCAAATATGAAATGAAATTCAACTAATTAAGAAATATAGATTGAAGAGCAGGTGTTATATCGACGAATACAGACTGCAGGGCTAGGTACAAATGTTTTCTGTATACCCCTGAACGACCGAAGGAATTGAGGGTTTCGAAGACTAAGGTCTGTATTCATCGATATAACACCTGCTCTGTGGTCTATATTACGACTCAAAAATGAAAACTCACCAAAATGTTTCAAATATTCATTATGGTTCCCCCTTACTCCTGCCTGCCATTATGACGTCGCACATAACTCCTATTACCAGGGGTATTGTTCGCGAATATATCCCAGGTGAAATATTGACTTTGTTTACAGTTTATAGAAGGCATGAATACAGTCAAGTTCAAATACAATTTACATTCACCCAATAAAAACCAGTTAGAAACACCTGATGGTAAAGTTGGTAACGCTTTTGCAATCACTGGCTTGTTTGTCTGTCCATTTGCAAAAGTTAAGGAAAATTACATGTAATCACAATCACATGAACCTGAAATTTTTCAAGTATAGACATTTTCTGACTTTTCACACATTTTTGGCAGTTTCAGTTACCAAGGCAATGAATATATATTACCATTGAAACAGATTATTCTTGTGACTGTTGAGGTGCCCAACATTTGATTCTGTAACTATTGTCGTACTTATTTGTTGTTATGTTAATACCTTGCTAATGACATATCATGTTTTTCAGGTTATCCAGCACCTAATGCCTCAGAAGCCTCTACCATATGTTCAAAATTGGGAAGCTTTAAATTACTGTTAATTGAGAATGGACGTCATGATTTATACCAACGTGTCAGACTCAACGTCAGCCAAGATGATGTCATCTATGCATTAAGAGATATCAAAGAGATTTAATGCCATTAATGAAATGAGAGGTAACAACGAAATGTGATGTCATTTATGAACAAGATATCAGAAATGGTGGCATCTATGAGCTGAGCTATATCAAAGAAATATAATGCCATATGAACTAAGTGATTTCAAAGAAATATGGTGTCATCGATGAACTAGGAGATCAAAGAAATATGATGTCATCTATGAACTAAGATATCAAAGAAATGTGATGTCATTTATGAAAAAAGAGATCAAAAAATATAATGTCATTTATGAACAGAGATAAAAAATTTGGATGTCATCTATGAACTGTCTGGAGATATCAGAAAAATATATTGTCATCTATGCACTAAGGCTAGTGAAAAAACAAAATATTAATACCACCGGGGAAAACATATTAAAAAGATATACAGTGTACTGTACTTCGTAATCTTGAAAATGTATTAGCGACTTATTTGTCAGAACTCAAAATAAATGTTCATTGTAATATGTATTTATAAAAAAATTAGCACATCTTGTAATATGTGCCATTATTTATAATATTATAGTTGTGCTAGTTAATTGTGTTTTAAATTATCATCTTACATGTCTTACTGTGAGTGTTGTAATTATTTTAAAACACTTTCCATTACATTTCATATATGTTAGACTTTAATGTTGGCATTAAATAACATGCCAGCTCATAAGGGTGTTATGTATACTTATCTGCTGTTACCTTCTTCAAAGGTCTTTATCGTGGCCTTTGTCCAAAGATAAATCCCTGCACATTTTTTATTCTGCCGGATGTAAATCATGTCGCTGTATAAGGGTCATGTCGTAATCATAAAATTTGAAATCATATGTTCGCCATTTTTCCACATCACAATTTGAATTGCAAGTTTTGGTCTTATTACCTCACCAAAAATTCCAAAAAAACACATGAAGTGATCAATGTATTAGGTATAAGATCACATCTTCTGGATCACTAACTTAGAATTTACGGCCAGTTACTAATGTCAGAGATTAACGACATTTTGTCCAGTTTTCGAATATCACCATTTTTCTTGGAGCTGTTTGTTTTAATTTTAGACGAAATCCTGTAATATCTCATCAAGGAGCCCAGCCAGTTCCATTTTATTCATGATATATCTGGCGATTTTTAAAATATTTAATAAATTTATAACATGCTGGCTACATAATTTTGATTGTTTAAAACTTGAAATACAAGCAGGCATATTGGATATGTAATTTTAACAGAGGCATGTGCAAATGGTGAAGTGTAAATTGTGAATGGCATGTAGTAAAGTACTCCTCTACAATCATATAAAAATATTTAATATTATTGAAAAGTAATGCACATTGTACAGGTGTACAAAGTAAGCCAGGGTAAACAAAGTGTTTAACATTCCCTCATATCCTTCCAAAGCCATCCATTACTTGTTAGAAACTAAAAAGCGCCATCTCTTTTTCCTTGAAGTGTTATCACAAAAAGTTTGATATATATAATGTGAATAGAAGCAATACAGATGACAATCTTTCTTATTTGTGCCTCAGAAAATCTTAAACAGCCATTTGAGGTCTCTTCAAAGTAGAGTTTTATCATATTCAAATCGAAGGCATTAAATATTAGATTGCAAATATTATATTTTTATTTGTTTTTTGGTATTTGGGAATGTTATTTTGTTTAATATTCAGTTTTTACCTCGACAGCAATTATATTATATAATTATCTGTGTTGCAACATGTGACACACAGGTGTCAATTTTATATTATATAATTATCTGTGTTGCAACATGTGACACACAGGTGTCAATTTATAGTTAATATCCTGAAGGCATGAGCTTCACTCTTCTGGGTCTCCTTATCCGCAGATTAGATAACAGAATTTTACTTTCCAGGGATGATTTAACATCCTGCTTTTTTGTTATCGCAAATCCAGAAAAATACCTGTGTCTTTTCTCCGAAGAATTGGTAGAGATATTATGAAATTTTGAACACTGTTTTTCTCTTAAACCAATTGAAAACATTGTGTAAAAAACACATCCTTAATTTAGTGGTCACTGATTGACAACAATTTAACATGAAAATTATTACATATTTTACATAATTGTTTAAGAAAATAGTTTTTGTTATTATTAGCTCACATGGCGAGCTATTGCAATCACTCACTTGTACGTCTGTCTGTCTGTCAACAATTGACCAGTTTTAAAACCTCTGTCAATTTATTTTTGTTCAACATCAATATAGAAAACCCCCCTATGACTCCTGGTTCAAAAGATCGCCTATTTTCAAATTTGCTTTAAAAACTTTGTTGAAAGGATTCCCGTTTTAAGTTATATTTGTTCAACATCAATACAGAAAATTCCCTTATGACTCCTGGTTCAAAAGCTCGCCATTTTTGTCTCGCGCAATTCACATTTGGCCCATTTCCTAGCTTTACAAATAATTTTAGGTGTCCTGCATTGTAAAAAGCTATGTCACTTTAAAGAGTAGTTGTATGAAATAATTTTGCTACAAAAAATCGGCCAAAAATTTTATCCGTTTTTTTATTTTCAGCCATTTTAGTTAACATTGATTTGTCCATCGATCTCTTGAAATCCACTTTTGGACCATTTACCTTAACCTCTGTCAATAGGATTCCCGTTTTAAGTTATTTTTGTTCAACATCAATGTAGAAAATTCCTCTATGACTCCTGGTTCAAATACTCGCCTATTTTCAAAATGGTCGCCATTTTTGTCTCACAGAATTCACTTTTGGCCAATTTCCTAGCTTTACAAATAAATTCAGGTGTCCTGCATTGTAAAAACCCATGTCACTGCAAAGAGTAGTTAATATGAAATAATTTTGTTACAAAAAATCAGCAAAAATTTATATCCGTTTTTTTATTTTCAGCCATTTTAGTTAACATTGATTTGTCCATATGGCTCACGAAATCCACTTTTGGACCATTTGCCTTAAAACCTCTGTCGATAGGATTCCTGTTTTAAGTTATTTTTGTTCAACATCAATACAGAAAACTCCTTTATGATTCCTGGTCCAAAAGCTCGCATTTCAAAATGGTCGCCATTTTTGTCTTGCGAAATGCACTTGTGGCCCATTTCCTAGCTGCATGGTAAAAAGCCATGTTACTCTAAAGAGTAATTGTATGAAATAATTTTGTTTCAATAAATCGTCAAAAATGACATCCAGTTTTTTTGGCCATTTTAGGCATCATTCACTTTTGAGCAACGCCATGTGAGCCCAGTATCCACGGTACTATTTATTTTTAAGTGAAATTGCTTTCTCCCAATTCTTGAGAATGAAATAAAATATCTATCCGAACCTTGTTGGAACAAAATGCCATATACGTACTTGGATCTCTCAATATTGTTGGTTCATTTTAAAAATGTATCTAAAATAATTAAAACAAATACTCCCAAAAATAGATAAAATTGAAATATACCTTTTGAGAGACCTAGTGTAAAATGTTGTGTATATGTCATTTTGTTCCAATGAGGTTCGGATAGATGTTTCTTTTCATTTCGAACAAGAACAAAAGACAGTGTCTGGTGTGTTTTCTAAAACAATATATAAGAGTAGATAATATATTTTTAATGTTGATTGTTGCCATTCAAAATGACCATTAAATTGACAATGTGTAATTTTTTCAAAGTTTTTTGTTGACTGGGAGAGACTAGGAGAAAAATGTGTTCAATTTAGTTCACATATCAAGTCATCTCCAAAATGGCTTATCTGATTTTCTTCAAGTTCATACACATGTTAGAGAGCACAAGTTCAACAATACAATGACTTTTATGTGGCTACTTGATAATGTGATTTTGTGTACCTCATGTACATTTTTCTGAAATGGGTTCTTATTTTGGGATATTGGGGGTCAACTGCTCACACATATTTTCAAGTGTGTTTTCTTTATTTATGAATATGCCTGTAATTTACATAGCTTAACATATTAACTTATGCAATGAATACTGAAAAAATATATTTTTCATGCACGTCTATGGATATCCACAAGAATTCATAACAAGTTGTTTGAAATGAGCAATCACTTTTCTGCAAGAATATTGATTTCAATTATTATCATTCATTTTTGGGGGTTTTAAAAAGTTCTAAAATAATATAAAGAAAGATAATGGGGGATGCCATTTTGAATTTATGATGTCACAACATAGCTAATTAATAATATTTGTATAGGAGTAAAAGAAATCTGTCAATTATTCAATATGAATCAATCCTACTGGAATGTCATCATCTAACATCATTAACTTTTGTGTCCCTTTAAATGGTGTGGGGCCATATTGTTTTCCATGCATCGTCCATCCATTACTAAAAGTCTTGTTTATGCTTTTCCAGCCAAACCATTTCATAGATCATTTTACAATTTTCAGGTATACTTTTGATGTAAAAGTCTACAACAGATACATTTTTGGGCATGCTGAATAAATTCTTCAGTGGCAGTTATTGTTTTTTATTTCATCCTAAAATCTTGTCTCTTCAACTGATTAGTGTAAGTGTTAACCATACAGGATGAATCTAAATATGATATGATATGGGGGTTTATACATGTAACATACCTATGATGATGTATAGTGTAAACCGTTCACAAGACAGTGGGCCAATATAACTTTTGAAAAGCCCGCTCCCGCTAACTTTCTGATTGGTCGAGCGCTGGGACTACGTCATACATTAGGCCTAGGTCAAATTGACTTGTACATTCGTAAGATACAAATATGGGAATAAATCATCATTTCCGAACCATTGCTAGTCAATTAAATAAGAAAACGGTACTCTCTGACCAGACTAGATCATCATAGGTATGTTATAAATCATTTATGTCACCATAGTTGCACAAATGCCCTTGGTTCTCAGTGATCAATGTCCTTCCCAAGGTCGGGCCATATATCACTGAAACCCTCGGGCATACTGTATGTGCAACGATAGTGACATAACCTCTAAATATTGTACACATTTACAATGATATGATATGGGGCAATATTGTACATGTTTACAAGTGTCCTTGTAAATCCAGACGTTCTTTCAGTATAATGCATTTTCTCTTCTACATGTATAGTGAAACCTGTAAAGTGGAACACCTCTAGTAGAGGAACAACTTTGTTAGTGGAACAATTTCAGTCTCCAGACCAACTGACCTAATGACAAATGAACCTCTATAAGAGGAACACCTCCCAAGTGGAACACTTTAGAGGTACTAAAGGTGTTCCACTCTGTACCTGTAATGCTAAATTAAGCTATTTAAGTTGCCATTTTGAATTGAATGTAGGTATTTAATCATTTATCACAGGCCTTAATATAAATGCAAGAATGGGGTAAACATTAGCAAAAATTTAATATTCGGGCATGGGTTTCCTTCATGTAAACGCATGGGATAACATTTATGCATTTTATAATATTGTGTAATACATGCATTTTATATATTATTTAATAATAAAAACATCATATCTCATATCTAATTGTTTTGTTTCGTGTTCTATTTAATGTAAAGATGATACCATCTTTCAAATGGCTCTCATTTTTAAATACAGGTGGTGCCAGACAGAAGAGGGGAGGTTAGGTTTCTTAAGTGGACCAAAACTCAAGCTCAATGGTGATACTATCTTAGAGTTGTTGTCTTGCCATCAAATCAGTCTCTCAAGATAAGCATTAACTTTTCATGTGATCAAAAATACATGTACATTTGAAAAAATTAGGAAGTTTATTTAAAAAGGAATAGAAGTGGTTTTAAAGACCATGAAGTAGGTCTCAGCGGATAAGTTGACAGATCATTTATTTAAAAGTTTGTACATAGATACATAGATTTATCGTATGATCTGTACAATGAAGCCCTCTGATTGGTCAGTTTCTTGTGTTGTACCAATCTGTTTTGCTACTGAAATTGCCTCCATTGATCATCTCCATAGCAATAAAGAAAATATTGGTATGGAGGCGGGGACAACCTCAGTAGCAATACAGAGATTACCGAATAATTCTTAGGTATTATCTCCTGAGTAAAATGTATTGGCCTAAGATCACACAATAGAAACGTTATTAAATGATTTGATTAGTGCAATGCAGGATATATGTTCTGTCTCCATATTATGTATTGGCACTCGACTTCGTCTCGTTCCAATACAGAATTTCTCGAGCAGAATAGATATCCTTGAACTTCAAATCATTCAATAACTTAATATAATATCTTGACAACTCTTAAGCAATACTGGATTTTTTGGTAAGGCACACTGGGTGAGAAAGGCTTAATTACAATAATGGCATGTTTTTTTTTGTAATGAACACCTTTGGGCCCTTATTTTTAAGGTTCTTTCAATTTGTCACCTTTTGGTTGGTCAATTCATTTTCCGATTAACATTTAAAATTCATAGAAAGTCTAACATTATACTTGATGTGTTCTAAATAACCTCTAACACATTATTGTTAAATGCAATTTCATTGGGTGGTAGTGCTGAAACAAGTTTTTCCCTTAAAATAAGTAGAATTACCTAGTGAAACTTTCAGATGTTTATGATAATTAGATAACCTATCAGATAACTAAATTTCAAAAATATTCCCAGATCAATCACATAGTTATTTTATATTTATCTCAGTACAATTTGAAAAATGGGTGATGGTACTAAAACTAACTTTTCTCTAAAATTAAACAGAATAACCTGGTGAATTCTTTTATGATTATAAATTGTACCTTCATCACTCAGTTATTTCATGTTTGTCTTGATACAATTTTGGGCCACCCTGTAATTTCAGATTATGACACTGCATTTGATTTTCATGATTAATCCAGTTGGGTTATTATTTATCAAAATGTTGATTGTTTTCACCCTTATGATAAGTTATGGGATTGTTAGATGTTTGCAATGTACAGTAAAACCTGTTTATACATATTGAACATTTTTTTGCCAAGAATAAATGTTCAGTGTTGGTATGTGTTAACTACACAGAGGGTAATTTATACAGAAGTCAGTCAAGTATGTGTGGAGTAAAGTGTCAACTAGAGACAGGTGTTCACAAGAGAGAGGTGTTCACTAAGACAGGTTTTGCTGTACTTCAAATATACAGGGTGTCCATTATTGTATAGTCCAGTATTTGATAGAATAACAAGAGCAAAATAACTAGAGTTCTGGCTTTATTAATTAGTTTACATAGTGACGTCATCAATACAAGCAAAATAAGTGGTGATTTATCTCTTTGAACAACTTAAAGGCTCATGTTTACATTACATGATATCCATAAAGTCTCTTTTATAAGTACACTACAAAGTAGTACATACAGGGTGACACAATAAAATGACACCCACCTTACGTTGCATAACTTATTTGTCTATTAACATATAGACTTGTCCTTTAGCAAATTTAAAGAAAACATAATGAGAAAGGACCTCCAGATATTTCAGATGTATAGCTCAAGTGGGTCAAATTTTATAAGCGTTACAACATTTGCTCTAAATGTTGTCCACACATGGATTCTACACAAAAAATGCCACCCAGCTTTTGTAACATAACTTTGTAAATACTAATAATTTTGACTTGTAGTTTCAGGGAAAGGGGGAAAGGAAGTCCATTTAATTCAATTAAACACAAAATAATGTAGCTGTCATTGATAAAATCATTATCACTTATTTCCCCAAAAATTATGTTACAAAAGCTGGGTGTCATTTTTTGTGTAAGATCCAGTTGTGCCAGCATAAGAATAGACAACACATTTTGTAACACTCATAAATGCGGATCTAGAAACTTCTTGTGGAGTTGCAAAATGGAGTGTAGTTTTAATGTGCAAAAGAACAAGTCAGAATTTCTTCAGACAAAAAAGTTATGAATCATTATGTGGTTGGGTGTCATTTATTTTGTGTCATGCGGTACTTTATGGACACCTTGTATATTAAACAGCCCAATCACACCATTAGAGCTATGAATTGCATGCAAGAAAGTGTAAGTTTTTAAATTAATTATACAATATTTGTTTATTTTTATTCCATCAACATAATATACTTATGTACATGGTATTTGACTATTGTAAAATTATTTTGAATTTTGAGATTGTAAATTTGAACTAGGCAAATCATCCCTCTTAATAAAAGATAATAACTTTTCAATATCATTAGTCTCAGTTTTCATCAAAAAATGGCAGAGACTTAATTTGGTGCACGGTTTTTATCAATCCGCCATATTAAAATGGCTGTCAAAATAAAGCAATTTACAGTATCAGAATTGATCTTTCTCAATTCTAAATTTAAATAAGACAAAACACAACTCATTGGACAGGCTCTATTCATTTAGAGCTATTAGAATCTTCAGAAAAATGACTTGATATAAAACTTTTGAATAGATTTGATTTGATGAATCTTGGAAATGAGTCTGTCTCCATAAGCAGTCCAATCCATGCTTTTGCTTCATCAAATATGTTCAGTGTTGGAGCATGTATATTTGAGTCTATTTTTCTCCTAATATTGGCATTAATATTTACCTGAAAAACAAATCAAATAATATGTTAACAGCAACTCCTGGAACAAATTCCTCCAAACAAAACATATTTTATCAAATCCCTAGTCATTTTGGACATTAAATAATGAAGATAAAAAAAAAATCTTTATGAAATAATGCAGCCATTTGAATTCAACAGTCATTTTGGAAATACCTTCTTGAACAGATTTCTATGTCCATAAACAACAAGAACATACTCAACCAAATGCATACAACAAAGAAACATATAAATCACCAAACGCATACACCTACAAACATACACCGACAAATATATACATCACAAAATACATACATAACCAAGGACATACCAAATGCATACACCTCCAAACATACACCGACAAATATATACATCACAAAAACACACATAACCAAGAACATACCAAACGCATACACCTCCAAACATACACTAACAAATAAATACATCACAAAAAACACACATAACCAAGAACATACCAAATGCATACACCTCCAAACATACACCAACAAAAATATACATCACAAGAAACACAAAAATTGTACCGTGGGTACTGGGCTCACATGGTGACAGAAAAAAACGGATATAATTTTTTGCTGATTTTTTGTAACAAAATTATTTCAAGCCACTTGCCACTATTTTGGACTGACTGAGAGACAGATGTTGAGTAAAATGGCTGAAAAAAAAACGGATATAATTTTTTGCCAATTATTTGTAACAAAATTATTTCATAGAACTACTCTTTACAGTGACATGGCTTTTTGCAATGCAAGACACCTAAAATTATCTGTAAAGCTAGGAAATGGGCCAAAATTGAATTTCGCGAGACAAAAATGGCGACCATTTTTGAAATCAGGCAAGTTTTTGAACCAGGAGTCATAGGGGAGTTTTTTGTATTGATGTTGAACAAAAATAACTTGAAACTGGAATCCTATCGACAGAGGTTTTAAGCAAATGGTCCAAAAGAGGATTTCGCGAGACAGATGGACAAATCAATGTTAACTAAAATGGCTGAAAATAAAAAAACAGATATAATATTTTGCCGATTTTTTGTAATAAAATTATTTCATACAACTACTCTTTACAGTGACATGGCTTTTTACAATGCAGGACAGCTGAAATCATTTGTAAAGCTAGGAAATGGGCAAAAAGTGAATTTCGCGAAACAAGAATGGCGACCATTTTGAAAATAGGCGAGCTTTTGAACCAGGAGTCATAGGGGAGTTTTCTGTATTGATGTTGAACAGAAATAACTTAAAACAGGAATCCTATGGACAGAGGTTTTAAAATGTGCCACTGTTATTGACGGAAGGTGGATTTCACGAGTCAGATAGACAAATCAATGTTAACTAAAATGGCTGAAAATAAAAAAATGGATATAATTTTTTGCTGATTTTTTGTAACAAAATTATTTCATATATCTACCCTTTACATTGACATGGATTTTTACAATGTAGGACACCTGAAATTATTTGTAAAGCTAGGAAATGGGTCAAAAGTGAATTTCACTAGACAAAAGTGACGGCCATTTTGAAAATAGGCGAGCTTTTGAACCAGGAGTCATGGGGGAGTTTTCTGTATTGATGTTGAACAGAAATAACTTAAAACAGGAATCCTATCGACAGAGGTTTTAAAACGTGCCACTATTGTTGACGGACAGACAGACAGACAGACGGACGGACGGACGGACGGACAGACAGACAGACAGACGGACAAGTGAGTGATTGCAAAAGCTCACCATGTGAGCTAATAATAACCAAGAACATACCAAACGCATACACCTCCAAACATACACCAACAAAATAAACATCACAAAACACACATAACCAAGAACATACCCCACCAAACGCATACACCTCCAAACATACACCAACAAAATATACATCACAAAACACACATAGCCAAGAACATACCCCACCAAACGCATACACCTCTAAACATACACCAACAAAATATACATCACAAAACACACATAGCCAAGAACATACCCCACCAAACGCATACACCTCTAAACATACACCAACAAAATATACATCACAAAACACACATAACCAAGAACATACCAAACGCATACACCTCCAAACATACACCGACAAATATATACATCACAAAAACACACATAACCAAGAACATACCCCACCAAACGCATACACCTCCAAACATACACCAACAAAATATACATCACAAAACATACATAGCCAAGAACATACCAAACGCATACACCTCCAAACATACACTGACAAATATATACATCACAAAAACACACATAACCAAGAACATACCAAACGCATACACCTCCAAACATACACCAACAAATATATACATCACAAAAAAACATACATAACCAAGAACATACCAAACGCATACACCTCCAAACATACACCAACAAATATATAGTCATCACAAAAAACACACATAACCAAGAACATACCAAACGCATACACCTCCAAACATACACCAACAAATAAATACATCACAAAAAACACACATAACCAAGAACATACCCCACCAAACGCATACACCTCCAAACATACACCAACAAAAATGTACATCACAAAAAACATACATAACCAAGAACATACCCCACCAAATGCATACTCACCTCATTAGGTGAAGTAAGGGATATATATTTTTTATAAATAAGTTTAGCTTCTTCATGTATTGCACCTTCGTCAGTTTCCTCCTTCAGTGCCATACATGCTTCCCAGAACAAAAGATTGTCTTCACTGTATTCAGACTTCAGGAACTTCTTAAAGAGATCACGACCAACTGGAAAAGCAATATCATTCATCAGTGCAAACAAGAAGATCATCCAGGGACTGAAAAAATACAAATGCCATATGATATGTGGAGATACAGGATGATCACAAAGTAAGATGAAAAGTGCTCTAACTATTGTAAATATTAGTGAATCTGGCTCATTCTCACAGAATGTTGATCCAATACTTATACATACACAAAACAAATGTCAACATGTTACATTTAATATTCTGCATTCTATGGTTACCATGACCCATGTCAAGGGTACCTGGAGCAATCAAAAAAAGAAGAAAATAATGTGATGTTTTCTTTCTTGATGGTTTTATATTTTGGGAATACCACCATATTTTGTTACATTCAATGCATTCTTGTACTTGTATCATTATTTTCGCAGATGATCAATTTAGGTGTTCTATATATTTGCCATTATGTTCAACACATGTTTTGGTGACGCTTAATCCAGTCCATGAACACATGTTTCAAACTACCTTAACTCATCGCACACACATTGTCTAATACCAACATTTCAGATCGTCTTCTGTCTTGAAAAATTCTCCCTGGAGTTCAGATTTTAAGTCCCTATAGTAATATAAGAGTCTGAGGGAGCCATGTCTGGTGAGTAAGGGGCCATTCCCAGTTGCTCTGTTCTGTGTTAGATTTGCTGAATGGCTTTATACCAATACAGGATGGAGTGATCTACCAACTCTAGTCTTTTTTTGCGAATGGCATTCAAACATGTCATGGACTGGATTAAACATCACCAAAATTGTGTTGAACATGATGGCAAATATGTAGAACACCTAAAATGAACATCTGAGAAAATAATAATATATGTATGTATACAATAATGTATGTATAATTATGAGATCACAATTCTTGAGAAAATGAGCCAGATTTATTAATGTTTACAATAGTTGAGCACTTTTCATCTTACTCTTTTTGATCACCCTGTAACTAAACACACTGATGACTTGCCATATAAGCTAATTTTAGGTGGGGCTTGTACCAGATGTCATGTTGTGAATGGTCCAAACACAATCTGACAATTCTGCTCAGTTATTATTTCACCAAGAGGCCCCAGGCACTATCCTTTTTCAATATTATTTTCCTTAATCAGTCATAAGTTCACCCCACATCCATTCCACAACATCCCAGGTACCTTGTTATGTTACCACCGGAAGTAGTGACATTCTGCATAAGTGGTATTTAATACAAGAGGTTCATTTGCAGAATGGTTTAAATCTTATCATTTTCTTAATTTTAATTTTCCTAATGACAAGAATCTTCCCATTTGATAACATTATGAAGATATTTCCAACATTTAATTTTCCATCTTCCCCCCTCCACTCTCTCTTTTTCATAATCTTTCTTTTATATTATTTTTCATTGCATCTCATCCCCTACTTGTTCCTCTTATCTGCTTTCTTCTCATTTCTGATCGAGCAACCCCGCCCCCTGACCAAAAATTCTCTCAAAATCATGCAGTTATTCACCATTTTGAGCACTTTTCATGTGATTTTGGCCATTTTTGGGCCAATGTCAAAAGTGAACCCCCCCCAAATCTTTTAAAAAGTAAACAGCTGGCTATAAGCCTGCATGCATTATACTTACAATCATTGTCTAGGAGCTTCTCAAAGCTATCACCCCATGCTCTTGCTTCCTCTTTTGATGGTCTGAAAATTAGAAAGAATAAAATCAGCACACGCCACTCATTATAAATGCTTTTAAACATTGATACAAATAACTGTACTCTGAAGCATATACTGTCAGTATTCCAATTAGTAACCCTGATTTTCCATTGACAACCAGTAGCTACATTATCCTCAGACTGTTAGATGGTTTACAGTTTTGATGCAAATAAAATCATAACCACCTCAAATGTAAATTCCTTGGCTTTTTGTGAAATGAATGGTATCTCCATCTATAGGCAGATAACTGAATTTGATTTCCAACAGCATATTCTAATTGAATATATGGAACGTAAAAGAATAAAATAACTTTTATAGAACTTCTATAAAACAATAATTCAAGCACCAGTGAAGTCAAACTCCCACAGAGTATCATGTCAGTTTTCATTATTTCTATTATCATTTTAATCATTATCATTTTATTATCATTTCAATCATTATTATCTTACTAATTTTTTATCAATTTTTTCTGATTATGTTTTTTCTGATTATGACCACATAAAAGTTGATAAAGAATCTGGTTTATGAATTAACTAATAAAAAACACTTTTAATTTTTCTGAGATTGAATTTCCCCTTAAAGATTGATTAAGATACATGTATTTCAAACTCAATATTATTGCAAGATTTTTTAATATATCTACATTTTACTTACATACTTACAATTTAAGTTTAATTTTGTTAGGTTTGAAAAGCTTAGCAAATCCTTTCCTAAGTGTCTTCATTTGTGATGTTTCCATGGTGACTATAATTGTTTTAATGTTGTTATCCAAAGATAAAAACAATAAGTTACGTCTATAACAATATCTTTATAAGCTACACTGTATGTATGGTTATGTAAATCTATTTTATTAGAAATAACTTACATCTGAGCTTTGCGGCCTAAATGTATTGAAATAAGTTTTCTAGAACCAGCCATTCCTTAACAAACAGTTTATACTAATGCATTAACTTAGTGATACTTTTTCATTTTACTCATGTTGATTAGCATACACATACGTCACAAGTGTATTCGTGTTAAATACCACTAATGAATGATGTCATATAATATCATAAAAACATGATGTTATTGATTGATGTTGCTGTGTCTGCCTCAAATACTAAAATAGTCCACCCCTAGACATTTAATATTAGACGATGTATCACGATCAACTAGTACCTATGGAAATTGCCACATATTGAGCCGATGGAAATGGGGGTATTTCCACATATTGAGCCCATGGAAAGGAGATATTGCCACATATTGAGCCCATGAAAAGGGGATATTGCCACATATTGAGCCTCTGGAAAGGGGGTATTGCCACATATTGAGCCTACGGAAAGGGGATATTGCCACATATTGAGCCCATGGGAATTGGAAAGGAGGTATTGCCACATATTGAGAATAAGTAAAGGGGGTATTGGCATGTATTGAGCCTAAAGGGGGTATTACCACATATTGAGCCCATTGAAAGGGGGTATTGCCACATAATGAGACTATGGAAAGGGGGTATTGCCACATATTAAGCCCATGGAAAGGGGGTATTGTCACATATTGAGCCTATGGAAAGGGGGTTTTGCCACATATTGAGCCTATGGAAAGGGGATATTGCCACATATTGAGCCTGTGGAAAGGGGGTATTGCCACATATTGAGCCTATGGAAAGGGGATATTGCCACATATTGAGCCCATGGAAATTGAAAGGTGGTATTGCCACATATTGAGAATAAGGAAAGGGGGTATTGGCATGTATTGAGCCTAAAGGGGGTATTACCACATATTGAGCCTATGGAAAGGGGGTATTGATATATGAGCCAGGCCACAGGAAAAGGGGTCTTATCACAGATTTTTTCAATATTCTGATTTTTTGTTTATCTTTAAAGCACAAAGAAACCTTTCAAATGAGCCATGGCTTATGTCCTAACAATTTTTCCTTGCATATATAGACCAAGAAGTCGGATCTGAATTTAGCTCGTTTTCCTCTTAATCGTGGGCACATTTTTGGCTCTGTAGCACAATTTTAATTTTTGTGATAAGACCGGTTTTCCTATGGCCAGGCTCATATATTGAGCCTATGGAAAGGGGATATTGCCACATATTGAGCCCATGGAAATTGGAAAGGAGGTATTGCCACATATTGAGACTAAGGAAAGAGTATATTGCCACATATTAAGCACATGGAAAGCGGATATTGCCACATATTGAGTCCATGGAAAGGGGGTATTGCCACATATTAAGACTATGGAAAGGGGGTATTGTCAGATATTAAGCCCCTGGAAAGGAGCTATTTGCTGGAATTACATCACAAAATTACAAAATTACACCACAAGAAGGCGCTTTACAAAATCGCCATTCTGATTACACCAACATTTCTAAAGCGTCTTAGGAATTATATTTTGGAATTACACCTGTTTTTTCTAAAACGCCTTTCGTGCACTTTTAACGATGTAGTTATGGATAATATCCAGCATACATGTATGTGTACATCTCCTGTAAATGTATTCTTTTTACATCTAAGACAAAACTGATCTTCCATAATTTGATTAAAAATGCATGACATTGCATAATTTTTATTTATCTTTTATTAATTATGAGAAAACAAAATAACAAGACACACAGTGATAAATATCGCACTTTGAAGAGCAAACTGGCCACCATGCAATTTACCCAGCATGGCCAAAACCTAATCAGACCTTTGCACTAGTCTGTTCTTGCATCTGTAAACATTTCAAGTTGACAAGGTTAGCGTTTTCCTGCAATTTTGATGACAAGAATTTATTTGTAGTCTTGAACTTTGAGAAAATTTAGATAACATTGTTTGTGACCTAATTTGATGACCTTCGACCTTGAAAATTTCACTTTTTTAGACCTCAGTAGGTGTTTTGTTATTAAGCCGACCTAAATTTAAATCCAAAATATCAATTTAGAAAATCAACTTTTTGACCTTTTCAAGGTCACTGAAAGTCAACGAAAGGTCAAATCTGAAATCTAAGGTCAGATTTGAACTTCTGAGAACTTGTAGATGTTTTTAAAAAAGAAATTTGGTCAATTTGGAGCAAGTTGAAAAATTCAAAATGGCCGCCAAATTGAAAAATTCAAAATGGCCACCATGTAATTCAGCCAGCATACCCAAAACCTAATCAGATCTTGGCAATAGTCTGCTCTTGCATCTGTAGAAATTTCAAGTTGAACGGATAAGTGGTCTTGTTGGAATGATGACAAGATTAGTTAAAAAATTCAAAATGGCCGCCACGTAGTTTACCCAGCATGCCCTTAACCTAATCAGATCTTGGTACTAGTCTGCCCTTCATCTGTAAAAATTTCAAGTTGAACAGGTAAGCAGTTATCCTGGAAATTTGATGACAAGATTTGGTTTATGTCCCGCCCGCCCGCACGCCTGCCCGCCCAACAGCACAAGACGACGACAATATAGCACTTTTTCAAAGTGCGATAATAAAAAGGTAAAAGAAAAATATGTACATATTCTCTGAAGATAACACTTGATTTCGATGTGACCTGGCGACCATCATCCATTTTTCACTTTAGATATAGCCAGATAGCAGCGTGACCGGATGTCTCATCATGTATCAAATGTGTTTATTATTTTTGGAAATCATGGTCTTATTTCGTTTAAGGCAAATGTTAAAAACTAGTAAAAACCTGGGTAAGGCGTCTTACAAAAACCGATCAGTATTACACTGCACACTTAAGGTGCCTAACGACTTATGCCGTTTACTAGTGATTAGGGTTCTTGGAGTTATAGAAAAGCGCTTTTTTAAAACCGCAATCGTGATTACACCTAATTCTTAAACCTGGTAAACCGAAGAACCTTTTGTAAAACGTCATGTGTAAATCCAGCAATTGTCACATGTTGAGCCTATGAAAAGGGAGTATTGCCACATATTGAGACTATGGAAAGGGGGTATTGTCACATATTAAGCCCATGGAAAGGGGATATTGCCACATATTGAGCCCATGGAAATTGGAAAGAATCTATTGCCACATATTGAGACTATGGAAAGGGGGTATTGTCACATATTAAGCCCATGGAAAGGGGATATTGCCACATATTGAGCCCATGGAAATTGGAAAGAATCTATTGCCACATATTGAGACTATGGAAAGGGGGTATTGCCACATATTAAGCCTGTGGAAAGAGGGCATTGCCACATATGATTCTGGAAAGGGGGTAGTGTCATATAGCCCATGGAAAGGGGGTATTGTCACATGTTGAGCCTATGGAAAGGGAGTATTGCCACATATTGAGATTATTGAAAGGGGTATTGCCACATATTGAGACTATTGAAAGGGGTTATTGCCACATATTAAGCCCATGGAAAGGGGGTATTGTCACATGTTGAGCCTATGGAAAGGGAGTATTGCCACATACTGTATTGAGACCATGGAAAGGGGGTATTGCCACATATTGAGACTATTGAAATGGAGGTATTGCCACATATTGAGCCCATGTTAAGGGGATATTGCCACATATTGAGCCCATCGAAAGGGGATATTGCCAAATATTGAGCCTATGGAAAGGGGCTATCGCCACATATTGAGCCTATGGAAAGGGGATTTTGCCACATATTGAGCCCATGAAATTGGAAAGGAGGTATTGCCACATATTGAGACTAAGGAAAGAGGGTATTGTCACATATTGAGCCCATGGAAAGGGGGGTATTGTCACATATTGAGCCAATGGAAATGGGGTATTGCCACATATTGAGCCTATGAAAAGGGGGTATTGCCACATATTGAGCCTTTGGAAATGGGGTATTGCCACATATTGAGCCTATGAAAAGGGGGTATTACCACATATTGAGCCCATGGAAATTGGGAAGGATGTAATGCCACATATTGAGACTATGGAAAGGGAGTATTGCCACATATTGAGCCTATGGAAAGGGAGTATTGCCACATATTGAACTTATGGAAAGGGAGTATTGCCACATATTGAGACTATGGAAAGGGGGTATTGCCACATATTGAGCCTATGGAAAGGGAGT